TGTGACACCATATTCCTCTTCAATTTGTTGTTCTCGGCGTAGTAAACCCTATTCAGAATGGCCAATGATAGCGATCTCTATGCATTCCATTGCATTTTGACTGCTTCCAATATTCCTGGATTCATTCTTAAACCATTTAACATTTCAATTATCAGCGGATCTTTGCAGCTGTTTCTCCTCATTTTGACTTGTGCCCCATCAGCACATGAAGGGCCTGAAAGCTTTACTCCATTCACTTCGTTATGGTCATTACTGCTTTGAGGAGGCAGCTTTTCCCCAGCCAAATTTTGAGTGCCTTCCAACCTGAGGGTCTTTTAGTTTCAGACACTATATCTGACAGTGTTCCCTTGCTATTCATAATGCTTTCATTTTCTGTTTCTGACAGCGCTCTGCTGATATTCATAAGATTTTCAGTGGCTAATCATTCAGAAGTAGCCTGCCTCTCCTTCTTCCTAATCTGTTTTAGTCTGGAAGCTCTACCGAAACCTGGCCACTATGGATGGCCCTGCTGGTATTTAAAATATCAGTGACATAGCTTCCAGCATCACAGCAACACAGCCACCACAGTATGACAAACGGACAGAGGAGATATATCGAGGGGACAGCAACAACATGGAATGATCAACCATTTAAGATCAAAAAGGGCAGCGTTTACCTAAGAACAAAGTTCAGAAGGGTTAAGAAGGCGGGTGGAACGGAAATAAGAATCACAGGGAGGAAGTGGGATAACAGATGTACGTGCACAGACATGCTTGACTCTACTTGGAGAAGGCAGCTTTGCTGCAGTCTTCCGCACTGTATCAGACCGTGTTTTGCTGCTCTTTATGAGGTTTAATAAAGCCTTCCTGGTGTGGCGCTGCGGGATAAAGCACCGGGCTGCAAGCTTGGTTTGAACCACAAGATTGGAAACACTATACAGGATCGCTGTGAGTCAGAACCAACTAGACGGCACTTCACAACAACAACACATTTTTTTAGAAGCAGGTTGGCAGTTCCTTCTTCCTTGTCTGTCTTGGTCTGGAAGCTATCCTGAAACTTGTCCACCATGAGTGACTGCTGGTATTTGAAATACTGGTGACATAGTGTCTAGCATCATAACCACACACAGCCACTACTGTGACAAACTGACACAAGTGCTGGCCCAGCATAGTAGGGAATCACTTTTGGGTCAAGATGAATCAGATTTGATTTAGAGCTGGAACTGAGGCTGAGGTTCTATTTTGGACCTATGAGAAATGAGGCGTAGGTGTCAGGAAGGCAGTTGATAACAGATCTTTTATTTTAAGTTTTTATTGTGAACGTTTACAGGGCAGATCATCAGTTTTACATTCAACAGATCATATACTTTGTTTCATTACAATGATTATAATCCCCTCCATGTACCATCAGTTAATTTCTCTCTATTCATTTTAGGTTTTGTTTTGTTTTTTTTAAAAAAACAAAACAAAACAAAAACACTCAGGCATATATAATAATTTAAACCACCAAAGGGTACATTCTGCAAGTCTGCCTCCTGGCCGCCAGCACTCAATCCCTCTCTTTTCATGAATCTAGAGTCCTCAACTGCTCCCTCTCACCGTGGCCCCATCTCTGCCTCTATCTCTGGTGTCGCTGCTTCTCTGGATAAGGTCCCGCATTCGATTTCTCCCTTGATGGTCCTTGGGTCCTCCGTTTCTGGACTGTAAGATGAACTACTCCCCTGTTTTTGTTACAAAACTTCTACCTTTACAATCGGATAACACAGATCTTGACCTTCAAAGAGATTTGGGGCAGAGAGGGCAGTTGGGACTTGTCAGAACACAAATTGGGTGTGAGGCCATTAGGAAAGGGAGGGAAGCTGAGGAGGGGACCAGATGCACATGTCTCCACCGTATCTGATTGGTGTGCATATGTGTTCTTTTTGTCAATTCATTACATCACATAATAATAACTCAACCTTCATGAAATGATTGTTTTATAGGTCAAAACAAGTTGAGTATTGGCCGTGATTCTTCAACCAATGTCCCTTGGTGTACTAGCTATGTACCAGTTAGATGAAACCCTGCTACTAGCTCTGTACTATGTTAGATCAAACCAACTCATCTATTGTCTTTTTTTTTTTTTTAATGTTTTATTGTGAATTATATGATAGTTTACATGGGAGAACATTAGTTTTACATTCATCCTATCGTATATCGTTTCATTGCCATGGTTACAATCCCCTCCATGCATCATCAACCAATCAAAGCGTATATCCTGCAAGCCTGCCCCCTACACCCCCCCACCCCCACCCAGTCTTCAGCACACAGTCGCTCTCCCTCTCTGCGTCTAAACTCCCCAGCTGCTCCATCGCTCCATGTCATCGTCTCTGCCTCCATCTCAGGCATCAGTGCGTCTCTGGGTAGTGTCCCACTCTTCGCTCTTCTCCCTTGATGGTCCCAGGGACCTCCACTCCTAGACTGTAAAGTCAATCACTCCCCTCCTTGCTACAAAACGTCTATCTTTACATTTCCGACCCTCACAATCAGTCCTGATAACAATTATTCACTGTTGTATCACAAGATCTATTGTCTTTTGAAATGATTGAAATTGAATCATGGACCCACACTCTCAGGGTCAAATCCCAACTTAGATGATTCTTCCAGGTAGAAGGGGCTCATCTTTTCTGGAAGCCTAGTGGACTCCACTCTGCAGTCACTTCATGACCCCCATTTAGAAACAAGTGGCGTCACACGGTCAGGCGTCTTTCTTCTGTGCATTTCTTTGTACCGTGAGGTCAGCTTCATGACACGTTTTCTTTCTTATTGCGTGGGTTCACATATGTGCTTCCTTCTAAATCATAACTGTTTATACCTATTGCTTCTCTGGGGTGCAGGTCGGAAGCCCCCAGTTCTCTTTTTGACTCACCTGACTCCTGCTGGCCATTGGGGCATAGCTCACACCATGACTCCCAGGCGCTCT